TTTGTAATACGGCCTTGTATAACTCTTCTGCTCTATCTGCGTTATCTTGGGCCAGTGCAGCGGCGTTTTCTTTGTTCTGTTGGTCTATAAGCACTTCCTGATTGTCTTTCGCTTTCTGAACAAGCCCGATATTGTCTATCGTCATCTGTGTTATGAACGCTTGTTTTAAGTCTTCCGGCATTGCGTCTGGTAGGATGTTGTTCTGTATATTTGATAACGCGTTCGCTAATTGCACTGGGTCTGTGCTGAATTGTCTGTATGCGTCTGCGGATTGTTGTTTGTATGCTATGTTTGCAAACAGTTTAAAGTTGTTATTGGCGGAGTTTATCAGATGGTCTCCAGTTTGTTCGAACGCTTTGAAGCTAACTTCCGGCACTTTGAATTTTTCTGCATTTATATCTGGTGCGTTGGATGGTGCTATTTGTGATACCATATTCTTTCTCCTATTTTATATCAATGCTGCAAGTTCTTCTACGCCACCGTATTGTTGTGCGGTAGCCATACCCAATTGTGTTAATCCGCTGAACAATTGTATGTATTGTTGTTTGTCGGCCAGGTTTTTCTTTATCTTCGCTTGTTTCTTTTGGCTTTCTAGTCCGATTTTCTCTATCTTTGCGTTGCTTTCAAGCATTTGAGTCGATTCGTTCATTTCCTGTGCCACGCCTTTGCTTTCTTCTAATATTGATCCAGCTGTTACTTTTATGTTTCTTGCTGCGGCATTTACGGTGTTTTGTGCTATGATTTTATTCATTTTATCGGTCATCTGCGCTTTTACGTATGCTACCTGGTTATCTATTGCCGTCATCTTGTTTTGTGCTTGTTGAACCGTATTTTCGTATTCTAGTTTGTTCAGTTTCTTTGTGCTGTCCCAGTTAAGCACTGTATTGAACAATTGTTCTGTTGCGGCTACTGTTTTCATTAGGTTGCCGACTTTCTGTTGTGCTTCGGCTTTGGACATTCCTGCGGCTATCAGTGAATTTAGATTGTTCATACCTTCTGTGGTGTCTTTTGCACTGGCTATTGCCGGGTCTGATACAGGGCTGTATGAATTTGTGCTGAGTCTAGGCAGTGATATATCTAGTAATGATGATGTGGCAGTTTCTATTTGTTCTGCCAGGCTATTTGTTGGTGTTGGAACGGATACATCAAGCAATCCGTTTAGTCCCAATTGTGTTTCTGTTGTGCCTGGTGTTTCACTTAACGAGAAGAAGTTTCCTACTGTTTCGAATCCAAATAGTGCCATTTTAATCCAAAGTTCCGTATTCTAGGTCTAGTGTTAGACTTTCGATTGTGAACTTCGCTCCCTGTTTGTTTTTTATTTTGTATGTTACTAAATCTTTCATTCCGGAACAACCGTAAAAATTGACGACTTTCTTGTCTGATGACATATATCCGGTTTTGTCGTTGACGTGGAACGCGTTTGGTTCTGTGTCTCTGACTATTGCTTTGGCTTTGGCGATTCGTTTTTTGATTGCGAATGTCTTGCCGTTTATATCAATTGGGTGTGATTCAAGTTCCGCGTTTATGTGGAATCCTATCTTTGGTTTTGCCAGCGCAGTCAATGGTTTAGATAACTTGCCTGTGTTGTCTGTCGTGTCGTCCCACATGTATTTGTCACCGTCATATACTTGTATTGTTGTGTTGGATAGGACCATATCATATCTTCGTTGGGTTACGTCTTTTGATGGATATCTCTTGAAATATTGAGTTCCTTTTGATGTTTCAACGGTAGCGTATCCTTCTCTTTCATATTCTTTTTCGAATACGTATCCGTTTGCTAAGCGAACTTTTTTACCATCTTCTAATATTGCTTCTATTGGGCTATTTGTTTGTTCGTTATTAGAACTTAATCTTTCCCCTATTTGTAGATTGTCGTGGTCGGCCCATGCTGTGCTGCCTGTATTACTCTTCCAATAAATATATCCATCTGACGTGTGCATACCATTCGGCCATATTGTTAAATCGTTATATTGGCTTTCACCGATTTTGGATGTTAGGTATGCTGTGTTTCCTGACCGAACTTGTGTTTTTGAATATAAAATATCACCATCATCATTTCTCCACGCGAATGTTCTTTTGTCTGTTATATAGTTTGCTGGGTCTTTTGTGTATGTAATTCCGTCTATGGTGGTGATAGTTGTTTCTGTGGCTGATGTTATATATTTTTGGCTAGATGAGCTTTTTGAGATTGAGTCTGAATATGCATACACTTCAAATGCGTAATTATAGCTCTGTGGATGTTCTTGTTCTGTATATACATAAGCGCCGTTGTATTGCCATGCATAAAATCCTGTCGCTTTCTTTTGTGGTATTATCGTTGCATATTCGTCTGTTGGTTTTAACTCTGTCTCGAAGTCTAGTTTCTGTTCGAAGTCTAGTTCTGCGAGTGTATATGATGTGCATGGTATTTTTGTTGCTGTACCTTCGTATGTAGAAGTGTTTTTGATGACAAACCATACTTTATTGTTTATGGCCACTGCACCTGTTATCAGCGATATTTGTCCTACATATAACTTACTGTAAATTGTGTTTCTGTTTGGGAATGTCCATCTTGCCCAGCTCATGTTGTTTGTTTCTTGTGATAGGTTACATACAGCTATGTGTGCTGGTTCTATTATTCCTTTCACCTGTCCTGGCGTTTTGTTTTTGTCTCTTTGTATTACGTATAGGTATTTACCTGTTATATGTTCTCTGTCTTCATTGAACACCATTCTCCATGGGTCATATATCAAACTTTCTTGTGCTAATTTATTTATTGCAGATGATTGGAATATGTCTTGGCCTAATTCGTATTGGAACGCTAGGATGTTTTTCTTTGTCTTGTCTGCGTATAGCAAAACTGACTTGAATATAACGGGTTCTGATAGGTTATATATACCGTTTGAAGACTGTTTTCTTATTCCGCTTGCTTGGTCGTATGTGTATTCCGAAGCGTCTGAGAATATCTTCAATCCGTTAAAGTCTATCATTGATACCATTTGTTCCTGGTATTCTGTGTTGATGTTTATGCTTATTGCTTCGTTTGCTGCACCGTAGTCGTTCTTGAAGTCTGTGTATTTCGCTATTTGTGATCCAGCTATGAATGATGGTATCACTTGCGGACTCATTTGTGTGTTTTTGAAGTGTGTTGCATATAGTCTCTGTTGCGCAAATGCGAATTTCTGTGGATTATACTTGGATGTGTCTGTGTATCCTATTTCTAGTGTGAAACTATTGTCTTTTTTGCTTGCGTCCGCTACTGGTGTCAGCAATGCCCCATACATTATGCACTTTTGGCCGCTCAAATAATATCCTTCGATTCTCATGTAGAAGCCCATGTTTGGTGCGTGTAGTATTGAACCGGACGGCATATCTCTTTCTATTTTTGCTCTCCAGTCTACTACTGATGGATCTATAACCCTGTATCCTGTGTCTATGGCACTATATGTAGTCATATTTCCTGCCGGGCTTGTATATATATAGTCTGAGAATCCTTGTCCGTCATAGTTTATTGTGAACAGTCCTGCTTGTATTGTTTTTATATCTGTGTTGTTTGCGGCTATCCAAGGTGCGTCAAACTTGAATTGTTCTACTTTTATATCGTTTGTTTCTGTGAGTTTGAATATCAATGGTACTGTTGCTAGGCCGCCGACTACCATATAGTTATTGCTCTGTGCTACTGATACTGGGCCGTATGAATTAGCGGACAATCCTGTTGGCATATTTATATTTACTGTCTTGACGAATTTGTCATTCTCTATAAAAAATCCAACAATGTCTGATGCAGAATTTCTGTCGTCTGGTGTGATGAATATTATATATGAGTCTGTTGTAACGCTAAATACAAATGCAGATGTTCTTTCTGGATAATCTAGGACCTGTTCAGTCGTTATTGTCATAATACCGATTGGTCTTGCTTCTTCTTTTTTATCGTATGAAATTATTTTCAAGGCCGGTCTTCTGGTTATGTTGCCATAGATGTCGGCTATGATGTTTTCCATCTTTGCTACGGATACTTCTGTTACACCTGTGTCTGTGCGTTCTTCCAGCGCACTATTCGTTTCTCCACGTGACCACTTTACTTTCTTCTGTTGGCTGTGCATGGTTTCTCCCTTTGTGTTTATCGTCTACCACGTATCCATAACAATGGGTTGCCGGTTATGCTCTCGTGTTTGTTTCTTTTTGAATCTATGTTTTTCGCTGTTCGGAACAATACTACTTCTTCTGTGTCCAGTAATTGTTGTCTTTGCATGTCACCGTTCATGTATCCGTTTAATCTGCTTGCGAAGAATACTTTTATCCAGTCTACGAATTCTGCTGTGTATTGTGCTTCTGATACGTTTGCCGTGTATTGTAAGAACAATTTATCTTGTTTCGCGCATATTGTGTTGCCTACAACATAGTAATCTGCGAGCATTGTTTCGCATTCGTTAGCGTATGCTGTGATGTTGCATAGTGCGTCATCTGGTAATTCGCCTACGTATTTGTATTTGAAGTTTGGTGTTATTACTGTTGAACCGTCCGCTTCTTCTAGTTCTATTACTTGGTGTCTGGTTGCGAAGGACCATGCGTATCTTGATAATGCTACTTTCTTGGCTAGTGCATATTGTGTGTTTATTAACTGGATATCTGTGTTTTCTCTGTCGTTCCAGTCTGTTATCATTTCGTGATTTAATTCTGTCAATGCAAGATTCTTGATGTCGTTTGCTGTCCAAGCCATTATTGTGCCTTTTTTTCTTCTCTTAATCTTACTTCTAGGTCTTTGTATTTAATGCAGGCTACTTCTTTTATGTAGGCCCCTAATACGTATACTCCGTTTACTACTGCGCCTGTTATGGCCACTATCATTGCGAATCCGGATTTAATCATATCGCCGTCTTTTATTACGCATACGAACAGTAGAACGAACCACATTATACAAAGGATAAATCTTCTGCTTGTGAACTTTGCTATTGACATTTTTTTACTCCATTGCCTTACCTAACCCACCGACCAGCAGGTGGGAAAGGAAAGACAACCGCTTATTCAGCAAAATTTGTCAATGTCAATACGCCGGCTGCGCTAACTTGAGCACAATATTGAACGTCTGCTCTGGTTGTTGTGCCAGGTATTACGCGTACGCGGTCACCGGTTTTGATTCCTAATTGTGCAACGATTTCGTCTGGTATGAAGGAAGCAGCTGTTACTGTATCGTTGTCTTCGTTGAAGTAGATAAAGTATTTTGGTGCTGCAGGTGCGATTATACCTTTGATGTTTACGATTTCAGAACCTAAATTTTCTAATTTGAAAGCCATTTCTTTCTCCTTTGGTAATTAAATGTCCTAGGGATTTCTCCCTAGGTGTTTATTATTTTTTCAATTCTACAGCTACGACACCGGCTTTGTCGATAACGACTGCACCTGCGGAAGCCCAGAATGAGTGATAGTAACCGTGCAATTGTGGTGTGTCTGCAACGTGTACTTCTTGTAATTTACCAATGAATGTTCCGACTGCTGCTTTGTCAAACATGAATGCTAATACACCGCCGTTTTGACCTGTAGGCAATTTGTAGTCAGCTTGTTCTGGAACGAATTCCCAGTTAACGCCCATCCATGTTTTTACTTCTGAACCGGATACCAATGGACGGTAGTCGTTTGTTAAGAAGTTTGTCCATGTTGTGTCGTTTTCCAAGTCTTCTTGTGCTTTTGCTGGAACTACGAAAGTCAAGTTTTCTGTTGATACAGCTTTCTGGCGTAATTTGCCTTTTACTTCAGAAACGATGTCTGTTGACAAGTCGTCTGCGCTGTGGTTGATGTAACCGTTTGCAGGTCATATCCTGCTTCCAATTGGTCGATAACGATTTGTCCGATACCACGGTTGATAGCATAGATAGCAGCTTGTGTGTTTGTGCGAGCTTCGTCTATGTTCAATTTTGGCATGTTGCGATATTCGATAACGAAGTCAACATACAAATCTTTTACAGTTGCTGTAACTGGTTCGTATGACATGTGTTGTGGAATACCGACAGAAGCTGGCAATAATCTTTGTGCTGTGAATTTGCCTGCAACTGCGAAACGAGCGTCTTCGCCTTTTTCGCCTGAGCGAACTGTTGTACCAGCGATTAAGTTTGTTGATTGTGTTTGGTATGCTGCTTTGACTAATGGATCAAAGTATGTTACATACATTTCTAATATTGTAGCCATTATAAACTCCTTTTGTTTTTTAGCCACGTTGGTGTTACAAAAGCAATTTATCAGTTGTGCCTTATTTTTGGGGTTGTGTGGGTCTTTTTCAAGTCGTGCCACTAATAGAAAACAAGGGTCTTATATCTTGCTACTATGATTCTATGGGTTTTATATTTTAGTTTTCAACAAAAAACAGGACAAGTTCTCCAAAACTATATCCCTGCACCACTACTACGAATAGAAAGTGGGTTGATTACTTCTTTCCGCCTTTGCGTTTTCCACAAGCCATTTTTATATCCTTTTGATTAAATCTATTATGTGTTTAACTATGATTACACCTGTTTCGTATAACCCCGTCTTGATTGGCAAGAACACGACTGTTTCCAATACCGCCCATATGAAGTTCGCAACTGCATATACCGCACTGATGATGGTGTCTTTGACATCATACCAGCATTGTTTCCACGATTCTTTTGCTCGGGACTAATTGTTTTAAACCATACTTCTTTGATTTCATTCCACATATTTTACTCCTGTGTTTCTGGTTCTTCGCCGACCGTATCTACTATCGGTTCTTCTTGTTCAACTTGCTCTATACCGTTTTCAAGTTCGTTGATTTTATCACGCAGTTCTTGGCGGTGTGCCTTGATAGGTGCGTAATCTTCTTCGCTTATCCAACCTTCTGCAAACTTAATTGCTTTGTAGTCCGTGCTGGATAATTCGGCTTTCAATTCTGCAACTTGTTGTGCAATTATTTCTGCTTCGCTTGGTGCTGGAACTTCGTGAACGGTATATGTCCCCTCGCCATTTGCTGTGTCGTAAAATTTGTTTCCGTGTGAGTTAGTCCAGTTAGCGAACGCTTTATGGTCTGTTATTATTTGTCCATCGTAATACATTTGTTTCTCCTATTGTTAGTTTTGTTTTGATATTCCTGATACTTGCCAATACGTTGGAACTCCAGCAAAACCAGATGTGCCTCTAGTACCTATATGGATTGTTGTTGTAGATGAAATATTACCATAAGGCCAGACTCCACCAGAAAGGCGGCCTCCAACAGTTAAAGTATAATGTATATCACGCATACTAATTGTAGTATAACTGTAATATCAGCAGAAGTTGTTGTTTCTCCCCCTTGCTCAACCCAACCATCTGCGTATCTTCTATACCAAGTCCAACCATTCGCTTCGGTTGGTTCTTGGAACTCTACGACTATATGCCCGAGTCTATCAAGGTCTGCTTTACCATTAAACAATTCTGCATTTAGTCCAGCAGTTTGTTCTATTGCCGTTTGTGTGAACTGACCTACGTAGAAATATAGATACATCTGTGTAGCAGGCGGTTGAACTGTATTGCTGTTTCCGTATACAGAATTGAAATATGATGCCAATCCTGATTTTCCAACGTCTGCTTCTTTGTTTTGTGCGTTTAATCTGCTCTTAAATATCCACTATCCCAATGACTTACTTGTGCAACAGTATTATTTGCTGTTAATCCTATAGAAGATTCAGAACCTGTTGCTACAACTAAATGTCTGTGGTCTGGTAACCCTGGTTCTACGTAGCCACCAACACTATCTCTTAACCCAGAAAAAACCGAACTTTGTTCTTGGCAATTTGAATCTACGGTTAGCCGTATCTATCATATAATACCAAGCAACGCCTGTCGCATTGTAGATAGCTTCAACATTACTTTCTTGGTCGGATAAAACAATCTTGTGGTCATCATCTGTACGAAAGAATCGCACAGCAATACCGGCAACCGTTTCTTGTGTATACCCATATACTGTCCTAACAGCTGTGGAATACTGCTGTGCACCAGAATCCTGGTATAGCTCATCTTCTGCAGACGGGCATTTTGATATAGAAAAAAACTATACGAACCCGAATATCTTTCCAGGCATACGGTGCCACTGCACTGATTACATCAGAGGCTTTTTCCCTGCTATAATAATAAGGTATTACTTGCATATAAATTTAATTTGGATGATAAATCATTTTCCAAATGTGCATATGCTGCTTGATACACCTCCCCGCTCTGCCAAGAAAACCGTATCCGCTCTCAACCAAGATATGTCGTTCAAAATATGGTCAGACCAAATACTCGTCAACAATGGAGTTATTGTGCCTGTTCCTGCTATAATTTTATCGCCTTTCGTTAACATTGTTTTCTCCTATTTTGCCATACCTGATACTCTGCCAAAAGTAAGCTCGTTGTTCTTGTAAAACAATATAAAAAAGTAGTTGTGGTTCTTTGTCCTACTGTTAATCCATTATTGCTTGCGTTGGAAGAACCAGCATCTGCTTTATAAGATGTTGCAACTATTGAATAATTGGTATCCGCCATTTCTAAGACCAAACTTACCGTTATATTTGCTGTTGTATCAGTTAACCCTCCTTGTTCAACCCAACCGTCTGCGTATAATCTATACCACGTGTAACCGTTTTCTGCTGTTGGTGCTTGAAACTCTATAACCTTATGGTTTTCCATATCAACTATACGAGAAGTATAAGTATTTACTTGCCCTAATATCTGGTCAACGTCTGCCTCAATAGGTTGTTTGATTGTATTGGCAAGGACTATGTAGTAGTAACCACGAACGGATTGTGGGCTGAACTGTGTTTGAATTACCGTAGATTGAATTTGATAATGAAGCATCAAACTCCAAATAGTTATTAGTGAATATTGAGTAACATTACCATCTGTCCAAACTGCCTATTAGTTAGAGTCAAAGGTCCGTTAGCATCATATTTACTGCAGAGCGCCTTGATTGTTTGTATCTGCGTTATGTCTTTTACCCATAAAGTCCCAAGAACGATATACCAGTAATATTCGGCAACCCTGCTTCTGCCAAACTACCCAACGCAGAAGAATCTATTGTTCCTTCCACGAACCCAGTAACCTTTGGTAATCTTACTGTTTGACTTGCTGTGTCTAACACAAACTTGCCGCAAACACCGTGTGCCCGATACTTCTGCTTGCCACGCAGATTCACTGATAAAGCATTGTGGTGCAACAGATTGCAACTCTACCATCTTCTGATAGAACTGTGCATATACGCCTGTTCCGTCAATGTTATCTCCGTCAAGTAAATGCAAACCAGAATCCATCAAGGAATAAGAGAGAATATCGTTTCCCCGATATTACGTTCGGCAACGCTGATACGATAAGGTACTGGTGTCTTACCTGCTTCAAATGTGGCATAGAAAGTGTCGTTTGCTTTTTCTTCTGGTAACTGTTCTGGTGTTCCCGACCATATTTTATCTACACCTTCCAACGGATTTTGGTCTTCTATGCTATCACTAGCAACACTACCTACAATCTGCTTTATTCTTTCTTTACCTTCTTCTGTGATGTTGCTCACGTCAGAAGCCATACGTGTTGCCAATCCAGCGTCATCCATACCCTGCCAGATAACGTTACCAGCAATCGTCAAAAACGCATAGTTCATATTTAAGTCGGTTCCCTTAACGGATGTGGTGAGTGTCCGATAGCTGAACCACTGCAACCGCCAATAAACATTGTGCGTGGATATGGTGCCTGTGTTGAACGAAGTTCATATCGGCTACATATGTTGTTCCGTCTGTGGATAATTCTGTCTTATAGTTAATTCTGTTCCAGGACAAACGAGCATAGTAAGTTGTGTTTGGGTTTATGGTCATTGTTCCAACTACCGAACCAGCCCAAGACGTTCGTTGTGTGAAATCGCCATTAAGCCTTTGCGTTAGAAATAGCCAATGCCAAGCCACAACTGTGAATCCAATATATTCTGTTGTGTTGTGACATCATCACCTGTCGTAAAGCAGAAGTCAATTACGAACGGTTGGTTATGTAAGTCAACAATGAAAGGAAACTGCAAGTAGTTGTCTACTGAGAATCCGCTAACTTGTCCGCTCTGTATTACTGGTTCGCCAATGATTGTCGCATTTGGAACTTGAACAATTCAATGTCTTTGATATTGTCGTGCAGTGTTGCAAGTGTCCTTGAACCGTGTCCGTCAATTCACTAACGTCTGCTGCAATATCTTCGCCTGTTAATACGACTGTGCCTGTCTTTCCATTTACGGATTCAACCGCACCAGAAGCAGAGATAACGTTATTTTCGTCAATGCTTATACCTGTTCTGCTGTAAGTTTGTCCTGTTTCTCTGCCAGTTCTTCCACAGTTGCATATTCTGCGTCATCTTCCACCAAATAGATTTCGGTTTTCGGATGGTTGCTCTGGCAACTGTTCTGGGGACAACGTGTTTATGATAAGTTCTTTAAGTTTAGTATCAACGGACATCGTCTATATCTCCTGTTATTGTTAATGACTTGGTTTAATCTTTGTTTCTGTATCCATAGTTATATTGCCTTGTTGCAATGCTATTGTTGGCAGTGTTATGGATTCTTCTGTTGGTGTTATTGGAAAATAGATATATGTTTCAGAT